CTGGCTGGCATGTGGTGCTGGGGATTGAACTGTGGTCCCTGTGCTTTGCTAAGCTTGTTCTAAGTAGGCGCTTTAGACCACTGAGCCATCTCACCAGCCCCCAGGACACATTTTATAATATTAGTTTATAAGGAATCACCCAAAGAATCATATATAGGAAGTACAGAAATCTGTCTACTCACTAAAGACCAAAGAATCCAGCTCAGGGCCTGGATCATGATATCCTGTATGAGTCCAGCTGAAAACCTAGAGCTCACAACAGTATCTCCCACAAGTTCAACTGGAGGCCTACTGACCACGACAAGGTCTCATGCAGGCCCGCTTCACAGATCTATGCTAAAAAGGCCCAAACGTCAGTGGAAGAAGCTAGAAAGTTTATACCAGCCAGAGGAAGGATCCGTGCTAGCAGGCTGAGGGATCTGAACTGCAGTGAAGAAACAATGCCCAAGGTAAGCACCAGAGCTCCCCTAAAGGTACCACAGCCATCCTCAGCAGTGAGGTCCTGAACTCCTCCAGCAATGAGGAAAGCTGAATTCCCATCAGGAAAGCCAATGCAACAAGTTTCTCCACAAGGCTGAGAGCAATGTACCTTATTCCCCTCCAGAACCAGGAAGTGATGCTCAAGATGAGGACCGACACTCCCCCAAAATGAACCACAGCCATTCTCAGCGACAATGAGATCCCGAGCTCCTCTTCTGACAACAGCCAAGTTCATCCGGAAAGCCAGCATGACAAGGTCACCCAGCTGAACAGCCCAGGAAAACCAATGGCTTCCAATAGCTCCAACAGCTTCTCCAAACAGTATTCCTAACAGTATTCCAACAGCTTCTCTTGTTCTGCCTTTTATGCTGCTGGCAACAATCCTCAGGTAGGCTTCCCCCACCCAGCACTATGCTAGTTCAATTCAGCTAGGTGTAATAAGTTGACCACCAGTTAGTTATCTACTATATGTAACTTACGAATCAGAAAGTTAAATTCCTCGACATTGGATCCAATTATTTTAAATGTACCAACTGTTCAAGTATAAAGATTACAAATATGTACGAACTACTAGGTATACAACTGTTCACATAAACTAATTCTGAGAAAATATTTATCAAGATTGACTTTAGCCACCCAAAAACTAACAACTATGGCAAGTATGATACCAACTATGGCAACATGATAGCTAATGAACAATGGATTAAAACAAAACAGAAATTAATATTTAAAATAACTTACATAGTTTTGTCCTGATGCTACAACAAACATTAAAAGGGAAGAGATGCCTTCACAAGAAAAGCACAAAAAGTAGAACAAATTCACTGATTGCCTTATCTGTGTTATGACTAATGATTACTTTTTCTGAAACACTCTAACAAATAATATAAATTTAATTATACAAAGAATTTACTAAGGTATATGATGTATTATGCCATAAAATTTCCAAAAATTTAATTGGACTTAGGCCATACAAAGTATGTTCTTGCTCATAAGGGAATTAAAATAGAAAGCAGTAAAAGAAAGAAGTAAAATATGGCATATCAAAATTTATGGGATGCAGTTAAAGCAGATCTTAAGGGGACATTTATAGCAGCAAATATCTATAAGAAAAGACTCAAATTAATGACCTAAAGCTTCTAATACAAGAAACTAAAAAGGAATTAAAAATCAGAGCAGATGAAAGAAAATAATACTGTTTGAAATGGAAACCAATGAACTAAAAATCACATAAATAACAAACAATCAAAATCTGAGAGGATCAACCAAATCCACATGCTTCTCTAATCACAACTGAAAAAAAAGATGAAGATACCAATTTCAGGAATGAAGCAGATGATACCATTACAGATTCTGCAGATATTAAATATAAGAACTTTATGCTTTTAAACAATTTTATTTTAAATGGCACAACTCAAATGAACATCATTCAAGAAAGGCATATATAACACAATTTGCTCAAAAAGAAAGTGATATGCTGATTAGCCCTGTAATTGTTAGAGAAATTGAAATTACACTTAAAAATCATCCCTGCAAAGAAAAATCCTGACCTAAATGTCTTCACTGGTGAATTTTACCAAATATTAAAGGATGAAATAATGCCAATTTCATTTAACTATCTCAAAAATTACAAAGGCACCCCTAACTTACATGATCAGAATTACAAAACAAAACTACGGCCAGCAAAATAGCTCAGCAGATTAAAGCACCTGCAAGCAGGCGCAGGGCCAGGAGTTCGGGAGTTTGATCCCTGGGCCTGCCAGCCCCACCCCTGGGGTGTAATGAGACTGTGATTTAGAGTGGGCATAGTGGTGTGCACCTGTACTCCCAGCACTGTAAACAGGAGAATAACTATAAGTCCGATCTAGTAGTGAAACCTGAACATAGAACATTCCCTAAAATACAGAGGAGAAAAAAAAAGAAAGAAAACAAAGTTTTATAATAAATATATGCAAATATTTTTTAAAAATCAATTTTATTTTATAAACTTGTACAAAAACATGCCTTTTCCATTATTCTTTTTTTCCTCTTTCTTTCATTCATTCGTTTATTCATTCATTCACGTATTTGGTACAGGGTCTCACTATGGAACTCAGACTCATGGTGATTCACCTGTTTACAGCCTCCCCAGCACTGGGATTACAGGCGTGCACCACCACATCTGGTCTTGGTGGCCCGGCTCAGTGTGCCCAACCGCAGGGCCAGTCCCTGCACTTGACTAAGCAGGAGCTTAGTCCGCTGAGCTATCTCACTGGCTCTTCCATTATTCTTTCTTAGTAAACAATTCCAATCTTATTATCTGGGTTTCAGTCAAGTATAGGAAAACAGTACAATATATTTTATTAATTTCTTGAATGTATTATTACATCTATGCCTAGAAATCCAGTCTTTTCTCTCCTTTTTAAATTTCACTCATACATATTTTTATCTTTTTGTTTTAGATTCTAGAGGAATACTTCTACTTTACCTTAAAGATTATTTTGGTCTTTTGTCTACATTCACTATATTATATTGCATTAGTCATTAAATTCAACTTGGCAACCATCTAAGAATTGCATTTTATTTGTTTTTTATTTTTTTGGTTTTTTTTAAATACCCAGACTGTTAAAGCACATAATTCTTTCGGTATACTTTCTTCTAGGGTAACTTTTTGTTACTCTTGGCCACTTTGGTAGATTTTAAAGATCGAAAAGTGGAACTAATTGTCCTTGGTCCCTACTATCTTGAACCATAAAGTCTGATCCTCTCACATCAGAACTTTAATAATCCCTATGGGTATCAGAGTAATTTATTACATACTGCACACAGTCTTGCTTTCCAGTTAAGTATACTAGGAATGCTTAACCCATTACCACCACACATTATACCACCACACAAGTCATGGGCCAAGCATGAGGAAGAAATCAGTTAAATGATTAGTAATTATATCTAAGTCTCAGCTTGCTTTTCTACAATAATTATCTCATAACCAAGGAATCAACCTTGTTAAAAATTCCTTAACAATTCTAATTACTTCTGCATCAAATAATGGTAATTCAAATAAATTCTCTCTCACACGCATGCTCTCGCTCTCTCTCTCTCTCTCTCTCTCACACACACACACACACACACACACACACACACACACACTAAAAACACCTTCCAGAACAAAAATGGAGCAAAATAATGATTAAGTATTAGTCCAAAAATAAGGTGGGAACTCACAAAGAAGCAAACACTAGCAAATTCTGTCCTGTGAACACCTTCCTAATACAAGATCCAACTGAAAGGCTGCCACATTTCTGGAAAGGTAAAAATCTAGGGCTTGCCAAGGGTGGGGCCCTTTGGCTTTATCCCCCTAATAAAGGTGCACTAAAACTGTCCTCCACTTAGCCTGCAACAAACTTTTGTTATCACCAAAAGAGATCTGAAAAATCTCAAGTCTCAAACACAGGCTGATTAAAGTGGTATTCCCTAGGTACCTGAGGAAAACAAAAGGAAGTCTTTCAGGCAAAAAATATTATCATCTTGGCTTCTAATGATTCAATAACAGCATCACTGAAATAATTATTAAAATTATGTTAATTAAGTACAAATGTAATTTTTTCTGAATAAACATAGTATCTTCATACCATTAACTAAAGAACCATCAGAATTTTTCTTTTGTAATCCCATGTTGTTTGTATAAATATATGGGCAAGTAGGAAATAAACATAGAACATATCACAACTTAATTAAACTTTCTGGAGTTGGCCAAAGTCATCAAAACACATTTGAACACATTGAAAACAAGGCCATAATTTGTATGTTTTGCCGTTAGGTAACTTGAACCACTGGTGTTAGATGCACGACCACCCCGCTTGGAAGCTTCCTATTAATTTTGTTAATAAAAAGACCAACAAAAGAGATTAGATCCACTTATATCATGAGTGGTACAATCCACTGAGAAAACGTTAAATTTCAAAACATTTCTTTTTACCTCCTAAATATTATAGTTGAACAATATTTAAACTGTATTAGACTGTTGTTTCATTTTTAATACTGGTCTTATTTTAAAAACAAAATAGCAAGAGTTTAATCTTTCAGTGTGACCTACTTAACCAAAGAAGGGACAGATCACAGATATAATACCATATAACATTCTGAAATAAGCAAAACAGAAAACCCATGCATTCTACAATAAGATATAACAGAATTTATACATGTTAACTCAATATTTTATCTTCCTTATAAAATTTATTTTTAAATAAATTTTTATTTATTTTTGCGGCAGGGGGTGGGGGGGTGGGGGTTTGGAGTCACAGACAGACACCTGGAATCAAACTCAGGATTTGTGCTTGCCAAGGCAGGTGCTGTGCCATTGAGCTACATCCTAGGCCCAATTTTTAAAAATCTAATTATTTTCTTAAAAAATACAAGGGATTTTAAGTACATTCTTAGAACATTTACAATTTGAATTTAATTTCCAATTTTTATCCCAATATGGATTAAAAACATCCCTCTTTATATCCAGATACCAATATCCTAATATACTCTCATACCTATGGTATCAGGGAGGTCTAGGAGTTCATTGTGCTGCAGGTCCAGGTTCGTAATCTGTGTGCAGTTCCCAATCTCCTTTGGGAGGTGTTCAAGTTGATTGTGAGCTACATCCAGCGTAATGAGGTTACATAAGTCACCTGCAATTGGCCAACATAATCATTTAATAAGTATTATTAAAGAACAAAACAGCATCTATAAGCAATGAAGTCAATTTTATTTTCTAAACATAACCGGAAACAATCTCGTTACATAGTCAATTTTTTATTTGAAAATGATATAGTGAACAACCATTATGAGATTTTTATCATAATCACATGTTTTCTGAAAAATCAAAATCCAAACACAAAATCTCAAAGTGCTACAAAAGGATGTCTGATAAAATAAAAATGCTATATATGTAATTTATGTAAATGATTACCCATCTGTTTCACAGATATTTTGGGGGACAAGGGGTCCTGGAAAATTCAACCCAGGGCCTTACACATGCTAGGCATGAAAATGAACTCTGCCACTGAACCACACTCCCAGCCTTTATGTTATTCTTAAGGAGCCAGTTCAACCACAACTGTTGACATATTCCAAAGTTCAAAAAGACATTAATTTCCTTATTCAGATTTATGACAATCATATTACATACATCTTGAGTTCAATTTAAAGGATACTTTCTACCTTAAAATATGTATGAACATATATGTTTTCAAATTTTTAAAAATGTCTTCATTGGGCTGGGGAGATAGTTTGGTGGTCTAAGCACCTGCTTGACAAGTGCAAGGACCCAAGTTCAAGTCCCATTATTGCATTCTATGCCAGTCCCAGAACCAAGAGGGCCATGGTGGCCCCCCAGGTGTGGTGGCACACACCTGTAATCCCAGCACTGGGGAGGCTGAGACAGGAGGATCACTATGAGTCCGAAATGCATAGTGAGACCCTGTACCATAAAAAAAAAAGAATTTAAAAAATCTTAAAAATGTTATCATGATTTTAACAGAAATTTCCCCAAAGATTTATAAATAGTCATTAAGTACATGAAAAGGCTATGGCAATTTTTAATCATTAGGGAAATGCAAATCAAAACAGTGAGATATTTCAAATCTATTAGGATAACAACTATCAAATAACAGAAAACAAATGTTGGTAAGGATGTGGAAAAATTGAACCTTTGGGCATAGCAGTTGGGAATATAAAATAATGCCTTCTAAACCCTATGGTACATGTCTGTAATCCCAGCTACAAGGGAGGCTAAAGTACAAGAACCCTCGGTTCAAGACCTGCGTGAGTAATTTACAAAGATTCTATCTCAAAATAAAAATAAAAAGGGATAAAGATGTACCTCAGCATATGAGCCCTAGATTCAGTTCTCAGTATTGATGAAGAGTAAGGTAAAGTAGACGGCAAGGGTGAGTGTGGGGAGGGGAGTGGAAAGGTGCAGGTGTTATGGAAAATAGTGCAGTCACTCCTCAAACAATTAAATGTGTGTCATATAATCTAGCAATTCTACTTTTGTGTATAAGCTAAAAGAATGGAAAATAATGTCCATTATTGAATTACTGACAACAGTCAAGAAAAGAAAATAATCCAAATGTGCATCAGTGAATGTATAAACGATATGTGGCATGTACTACTAATAGAACATTATACAGTCCTAAAAATTGAATTCTAATATATGCTAAATATGGATGAAACCTGAAGATACTATGCCAAGTGAACCTACATACAGAAAAGGAAAACTGCATGATTCCTCTTACATAAAGTACCTCAAATAATCAGTCCAGACACAAAACAGAACAGTACTGAAAAAGGTGAGAGAAGGGGTATAATGGTTTAACAGGTATTAAATTTCAGTCTCATACAATGAAAAAGAGATGGAGTGGTGAGTGCTGTCCAACAATGTGAATATACTTAATGCCACTGAATTCTACAATTCAAAAGAGCTAAGAAAGTAAATTTTATATTCTGTATATTTTATAAAAAAAAAAAGACCCTTATGCATCTCAGTTTTGATTTGCATTTCTCTAATCATCAGAAATAAATGTGGAATATATCTCAATACTGCAGGGTGATTTATAATACTTAATCTCTGTGTCAGAAATGAAAAAGGTAATAAAAATGAGTATAAATCAATAACAACGAAAACGAGATGGTTCAATGTTAAAAAAAAAAAAGCTGATTCTTTGGGGAAAAGGTCAAGAATACTAAAAAGAGAACAAGAAGTCACATATTACATATTAGCACATATTATATTAGACATTAGCCATACTAAAGACTCTACAGTTTTTTAAAAGATAAAATGGAAATGCTACAAGCAAATTTGTAATTATAAATCAAAAGCCATGAACTACTAACACTCATCCTATTTGAAATACAAAACCTTAATAGTACTATAAGCAGTGAGTAATTTTTTTTTTTTTTTTTGGCAGAACCCGGGATTGAATTCAGGCCTTTGCACTTGCCAGGGAAGCACTTATTCCACTGAGCCATCTCCGCAGCCCTTTATTTATAATTTACAACTTCCCCTTCAAAGAAAACCCAGGCTCAAATGTGTCACGTTTACCAAATGCTTACACAAGAATTAAATTGTATACAATATCCTCAAAAAAAAAAAAAAAAAAAAAAAAGGAGGGGGGCCAGGGAGATGGCTCAGTGGAATAAGCACTTCCCTGGCAAGCACAAGGGCCTGAGTTCAATCCCCAGTTCCGCAAAAAAAAAAAAAAAAGAATATTTCCAAACTCATGAGTCTATCATTATGTTGCTATCACAAAGAAAATAGAAAACTACAGACCAATGTCTCTCGATAAAACAAAACAAAACTATGCCTATTTGAACCTTGAACCCAAAATTCTCAAGAAAAAACTAGAAATCTGAATCAGTACCTTGAGAATTACATACCATGACTAAGTGGGACTAACTACAGATATGTAATGCTAGTTCAATATCTGAAGATCTATGTAATTCACCATATTAACAATCTAAGAAAGTAAAAACTTCTGGTTTATAGTCTGACATGTAAAAAATTTGAGTCACTGTTCTTTTTTCAAAACAACAAAAAGAATCAATACACCGAAGATTTGTAACTCTTACTTACATCCTTGAGACTTGAGTACAAAGTAAACTCTTATCCTCAAAACTGTAGAAATGCAAATATAGACATTCAGAGTTTACCAGGAATAGTTGGGTCCTGTAAGACTACTGTACTTATAAAGAACTAGTTGCTGGAAACTGAGCTTGGAATATGTATGACATAAAAATGGAATACAGGGATTCTAAGGATGGGGCTCCTCTTTCCTAGCTTTCACCCAAGCGTCAGAGTGAAGACAAAAGAAAAATTATCTCCTCCATGCATATAAAGTTGCAGAAAATCAAAGACAAAGAATTTTTTAAAAGAATCCAGAGTAGCAAAACATCTTAAGAATTAACATCAGATTTCTCTCCAGAAATCATGCACACAAGAAGATAGTGGCATCTACTCCATTTAATGTGTTGAGAAGGAAAAAGAAAAAAATCAACCAAAAAGTCTGTTCCCAATGAAGGTAATCTTCAAAAGTAATGGAGAGGGGCTGGTGAGATAGCTCAGTGGTCTAAAGTGCCTGCATAGGCCAGCTTAGGAAGGGATCCCAGGCACATCACCACATGCCACACCAGCCCCACCCTCAGGGTGGGCTGAGTCACCCCCCTCCAAAAAAAAAAAAAAAAAAAAAAAAAAAAAAATTCAGAAAACTCCCCTACTAAAGTAAAAGAAAAAAAAAAAAAAAGAATGGAGAAATACTTTCTCTGGGCTGGTGAGATGGCTCAGTGGTCTAAAGCGCCTACTTAGAATAAGCTTAGCAAAAAAAAAAGCACAGGGACCGTGGTTCAATCCCCCAGCACCACATGCCAGCCAGCCCTGCCCCCTGGTGGGCTGAGCTGGCCACACACACATAAATAAATATAAAATTTTTTTTTAAATTAAAAAAAAAAAAAAATACTTTCTCTGACCAACAGAAACTTAGAGAACTTGTCACCACCAGTAGCTATACCTTGGAAATAATGCTAAAGGAAGTTCTTCAGAAGAGGAAAACAACATTTATAAAGTATGAACCTACATAAAGAATAGTGAAAGAATAAAGATTAAATATTTTATTTTAATCTAAAAGATTGACAGTTTGTTCAAAGTACTGATAGCAAGGGGTTGGCTCATTGAATCTCGAGTGTCTTTTTTTTCTTTCTTTTTTTTTCAATTGTTTATGCAATGTGTTAATTATTGAAACTGTCCTACCAATTTGATTTGAAACTGTTTATCAATAAAATTATGGAAAAAAAAAGTACTGATAGCAATAAAACACTGCTTATGGTTAAGTGAAATGATAGCAATGTTGTAAGGCACAGGACAGAAGAAATTGGAATAATCTGTTGTAAGGACCCCATGTTACTCATAGAGTGCTATGTACCAAAGTGAACATATATTAACAATAAATGTATAATATACTACAAGCTCCAGGGCAATACATGCCCCCACATTAACACATGTATTATTCATACTGAAAGGAGAACAGAAATAACAAAATGTTCAAAAAAACCATGGCGGAAACAAGTGGAAGTCATAAAAAGAAACAAAAGAATAAGTTCAATTAGTAGAAATAATTGTAAATATAATCAAATCAATTTTTAAAAAATATGTGCACTTAAATGTGAATGTTCTAAATGTACCAAATAAAAGACACTGTCAGAGTGGATCACTCCTATTTTATATATAAACAAAGGCAGATTAAAAGTAATTGATGGAGATAGAAATGCAATGCTAGTATTAAAAGAAAGCTGGAGTGGAAATAATTTTAAATAAAGCAGACTTAAAAGCAAGGGAAAATATCAATGATATAGAAAAGCTTTACCCTAATAGTAAATATATGGAACAGTTCTCTAAGACATAACAATCCTTAAGTACACATACTTTTTAATGGCTTATATATAAATGATCCCCAAAGCCTTATGTCCTCATACGTGGGGCTCTTGGTAAGCAGTAGATCATGGGTATGAGACATTTTCACTGGATTACTGGACCACTGGGAGGTGAAGCCCAGTGAGCAGAAGTGAGCGATGCAGTGCCCCATGGAGAAGTACATATCCTTCCTTATCCCTGGAATCTTCTGCCCTTTATGCCTGC